TTTTTTTTTTCTGAAAAAAAAAACTTGGAACTTTCAAATTTCAACAGAACAATTATTAGTCATGGGAATATATCTCCTTGCAAACCTAATGATCTCAACCTGAGATAAAGCAAAACATTATTTCAAAATAATTTTTCAAATAACATCTACCTAAATATTTAAACACTATAGTTACCCTGTGTGCCCTAAGACAGTGGCATGGTGTAGTGGTCCCCGCCCTTGGACATCTCTTTGGTTCACATTAGCACCATTCTGTAGGAGGAACTCACATGTCACCAAAGAGCCCTTAAAGAGAAAAAGAGGATAATGATGTTCAAATGCAAACAATAAGAAACAGTAATACATTTCTATTTAAAAACAGCATAATGCCAGGTGTGGTGGTGCAAGTCTGTAATCCCAGGTATTAAAGTGGTTGAGGCAGGAGGGTGACAAGTTCAGCCTGGGCAACTTGACAAGACCCTCTCTCAAAATAGCATAAAAAGGGTTTGGGATGCAGCTCACTGGTAGAGCACTTGCCTACCAAATGCTAAGCCCTGAGTTCAATCCCCAATAGCCATTCCCCACATCCACCCACAAGTAGTTTCACTTACTTTACTCAAATAGAACTTCCATTTTATTCTCCCATACAAAAAATACTGCCCAGCAAAAGCAAAGAAATGAGAGTTTATATTATTTTCTTCCCAAAACTACTTCTAATAGGGATTTATTAATAGTTGACTACTTTCATTATCAAAATTCTCTTCATTAAGCAAAACAAAACAAAAACAAACAAAATAATCAATTTTGATGCCCAGGACTCACTGCTTAGTATTCAAAGGTTCATTTTCTTTTTGGAACATAAAGCTAGTTTTTTTTTTTTTTTAATTTTGTTTAGTTGTTGATGGGCTTTTATTTTTATTTATTTATATGTGGCACTAAGGATCAAACCCAGTGCCTCCCACATGGTAGGGAAGTACTCTACTACTGAGCCACAACCCCAGTCCACAAAGGTTTATTTTCTAAGCCATCTCTTAAAACAAAAAATTAAAAATACACACACACACACAAAGCCAGTTCAAAAAGCCAAGTTCAAAACTTACACTATTTTATATTTTACTATCAATGAAAACCTCAATGTATAAATTCATACCCCTAATACAGCCTGAATAAGTGGTGTTGCTTTGTTTTCCTCTGAGTTAGCCCAATTCACATCGGCACCATGAGCCAAAGCCTCAGCCATTTTAGGAAGGTTTTTTTCATATGAAGCCCTATAAAGCTGAAGTCCTGGATTAAGATGTTTAGAGTCGAGAAACACAGAAGAATCTTGCCTTTCTCCTTCTGAAAAGCAAACACAAATACATTAATAAAAATGAATTCTTGGAAAGAAAGGGGTGAATTGTTTAACAGGTATAGTGTTTCAGATTTACAAAATGAAAAAAGTTTTGTGGATGAATGGTGGCAATGGTGGCACAAAGTGAATGCATTGGATTATAGATTTAAAAATTAGTTGACATGGCTAATTTTATGTTGTGTGCATTTTACCACAATTTTTTTAAAAAAAGTGAACTCTTCCACTTACCACAATGTGAAGATTGTGACATAAGAAACCATTAATCTATCACAATGAGCTTATGGCAGATTTTCACATAAATTCTTATTTCCGATAGACTAATCATTGAACATTCAACCTTCTCTCATAAAGACATCAACTGGTTTGCTAGGCCTTTGTGGTCTTGCGGGAACCCAACAGATAGTCTAATTACTCTGTTAATCTTGGCTACATTTTCAATAAGCATGGATTCAGGAAGCAGCAAGAATCCCTAAAGAATTTCAACACTAGATAAATCTCATTTCATTTCTAGATAATCCAGTACCATCACAATTTGCACTGTAATCAGTTCAAATCATATGAAGAATACTTTCTCTCCTGAGAATTCCACAAGATCAAAATCACTGAACTCACAGAAGAGAGAATAAAGACAGAAGAAAGCACTGGTCAGGGGAAAAACTTAATGGAGAAGTCATTGCTGATATCCTTCATCTGTTAAGATAGCCACAAGGAAAGATAAAGATAAGATACACAGTGCTTGTGGGTTAAAAATTATCCTTAGCAATTGGGAAGGCATTCTGAGAATACATCATGAGACCTGGAAGACTGTACCACTCAGAGAGAATTTTCAAATATCAAGAGAAATAGTTGCTTTCTTGTTTAACAGTTTTATTCCTCACTTACTACCTTCTAAATGACTAACCACTTCTTTATAAACTATTTAATCAAGAGGAGGCACTTACCAAATGCAAACTAGACCAATTAACACCAAATTCCATCAAAACTCACCAGGCTCATATAAACTACTGGCTGACACCATGGAGGGCAGAGATTCTCTCCCATCATCAGAGCTCTGCTGGATCCCACTGTCATTACTTTTGACTGTTTTAAAGAAAAATCAGCTAGTGATTAAAGTTCACATCATTTAGATAGCAAACTCCCGCAACCAACAAGGTTTTAAAATGAGCTCTTACATGTCAACATGAACTCAGCCACCACTAGCAAAATACATTTAGTACAATTTTAATCCATCTGAACACTTAGCTTATTGTAATATAAGTCAATCACAAAGCCTGAAAATAAACTTATTTTCAGAGTTTTGACTTCTCATTCCCCAAAAATTGTTAGGAGTAGTAAAGAGCTTAATTTATTGCATGACTAAAAGTAATGTGTAATTCTGAGACAATGGGTAACATCTAGAGAAATGGCCACACCGCACAATGACCACTGCACAGACTTGGAATGCTCCCAAGAGCAGTACTTACTACTACGCAGTTTTGAAGAAGTATCAAAGTAGGAGAAGAGTGAATCTAGCTCATCAGGACAGAACAGAGACTCCCGCCTGGCCTCGTCGCTATTTACAGCAACCACTGGGGACATGCAAGTTAGCAAAGCACAAAGCAGGCCATAAGAAGGGAAAAGGGCAGGAGAACACGTTACTGGGAAAAATTTAGGAGGAAAAAATAGGAAGGAAATCAGGTAGTTAATCAGATACTTAGGGCTTTTGGCATGATAGATTTATAATTCCCCTCTCCCCTTGTATTTTAAGCAGTTTTATTCCTTAGAATATACACATTACCTAGAAATGTGAATTATCTTGGAATTATTTAAATTTAACTGTTTGAAAGACATAGAAATCCAGTTTTTCCTTTGAATATGTAGGGAAAAAATAGGTTTTTAGCATTTAAGATACCTACAATGGCTATTAATTCAGAGATCACTGACTTCACTCAAGAAAATTTATATTCACAACAAGGGAATTTAATACCTGAACTTTGGGTAGATGCTCTGACTTGGTCAGCAGGCCCAATTTTAGAAATGCTCAGCCTCTTTTCTTCACAACCTTTGGAGACAATCTTTTTTTCCTGCTCAGGAGGTGATGATGATATAGAATATTTATCCACAAATTTCCTTTCCACATACTTTGCTCTGATATATGCCTCTTTCTCCTGTCTGGTATACATAAAAATGTCATGATCCCTTAGCACAGCTAAGTATTTTCAATGAATGTAATATTAATAAAAACTGAACCTGTGACATTATATAGCATGTTTCCCTTCCAAATATTTAATGAACTGACTTCATAGTCAAATGAAAAATAATAACCTAACTGAAAAATCAGAAGTATTAATGTTACATTGTTTTATTTTCTTAATATTGTGCACATTTATTTCTATATATGCACTCTTATTCTATTTGCAGAATAAAAAAAATTAGGAAAACTATAAAAATTTATAGAAATTTATTTCATTTTTACTGACATACTCAACTATCACTACTACTGATGGTCATAATTTTCAAAAAATAACTACTTTAAAACAAGTTAGCAATCCTAATTTATAGGGAAAAAGATGTCACAATTTAAACTTCTGATTTATGATACAATCATAAAATAGCAAATCTATTCTACAGTTTTTCTTACACATGTCCTTCTAAAATGCTTTCGTCTTTGGTTGAAATAGGATATTTCAAGGCTTAAACTAACTCAGTCATGCTTTAGCAAATATTAAGATTCTGATTTAATTGACAGTGACTTAGAGAGCTAAAAATCTCAAAATAGAATTATGGTAAATAAAATATAATGCCAAATAAAATAAAATTAATGCCAAAATAAAGAATCCTAATAACTAAAAACAGCATCAACAACAAAAATTATGTACCTTAAAGCACTGACTTCTGGCTACTGTTTCAATAGCGTCCTTACATAGGACTGGAAGAGTAATTTCAGACACACCAGAGCTGCCTTTTTTCATTTTTGATTCCTCAATGTCATAATACCATGAATGAAGTATGTGGTTAACAAACATTTGTGGAACCAAATCAAACAATGTAAAAGTATTCATTGTAGGTAGTAGAATCTTGATCATTGGAGATTTGTTTTCAAATGCCTGCCACTTACAAGACTTTGGACACTTTAATAGCTAAAAGCTTTTACATTTTTACATCAAAATTTCATTTTTTATACCTTTATTTTATTTACTTATTTTTATGTGGTGCTGAGGATCGAAGCCAGGGCCTCACATCTGCTAGGGGAGCGCTCTAACGCTGAACCACAACCCCAGCCCTCGATATTTCATTTTTAACAGTCTTTCTCATCCAAGGACTACAGTTGATTATCTGCTTAATAAAATATATAATATACCCCAAACAGAGATAGTCACATTTGAACTGTCACAATTACTTTTAACTTTCTGTCTTGATGTTAAATGTGGACTATAGTGAAATAAAATCATAGCTATATTACTGATTTGGGGGGCAGAACATTGAGAGAACTGAAACAATACCTTTGTCCTGGTTGTGGTTTCTTTATTCCCATTTTTTCCACATTGGCTTCATAAACACGATTTATAACATCATTCCCCAATTCACACATAAGCTGTTTAGCAGGAAAACAAATGAGCAAAGTATAAATTAAAATTCATTCAACAAAATTTATAGTTAAAAATAAACTGAGGAGTGAGAATATTATTACTTTGCCTTTGTTCATCAGAATACCTTCCCTAGAACATTACCACTCTTACTAAATTCTAACCACACACACATGCGCACACACACATACATGTCTGTCTATCTACATAACACAACTACTGTGTCTATATGTCCATAATAGGGCAAGAAGTGTGACAACAAGCCTTACCTATACAGTTAGCTATAGTTAGCACTAGCCAGTCTTAGTACAATAATTTAAGATTAGTATCTATTCTTTTCAGTTTTCTCCTTCCACTTCCTAGAAACAGACAAATCCATCAAAGGTACAGCTTTATTGTAATTACTTTTGGACTTTTCCCTCTCCTTGGTTCTACTTCCAAATAATGACTGGTTTCTTGGTGTATGTTCCAAAATCTCAAGATTTTCCTCTGTATCTGCACATTCACGTCTTTAATTCAGTTTGAGCTTTCCTCACCTCACTAACAAATCATATCTGTAGCCTCTCGGTGAATCATACTGCATCTAGTTGTGCCCGATTCCAGGCTTGATCATCAGGCCAAACATGCTTACTATGCCAAGATACAGATCATGCAAATGCTTTTCTGAAAAATCACATCTGGGTAAGAGAGATATTGCATACACATTAGGATGACACAATCAGTGATTGCAGAGAACAAAGTCAAGATGTTGGGACATGTGAGTTGGTGAAAGAGGGGAAAGGCCTAGGATGAGACAGGAAGAAGATAAAAATATGATCTAGACCCAAGAATGGGAGCAAAGCCTGATAAAGGCACCTCAGCAAGGAGGCACTAAGCAGACAGGGAAAAAAAAAAAAAACAAAACTTATCCTTTCTTTCCTGTTCCATACTCATGAGCCCTTTCAGAATCTTTGTTCTTTTGGGGGGGGGGGGTACTGGGAATTGAACTCAAGGTCACTTGACCACTGAGCCACATCCCCAGCCCTATTTTGTATTTTATTTAGAGACAGAGTCTCCCTGAGTTGCTTAGTGCCTCACCATTGCTGAGGCTGGCTTTGAACTTGAGATCCTCCTGCCTTAGCCTCCCGAGCCGCTGGGATTACAGGCATGCACCACCATGCCGGGCCCCTTTCAGAATCTTTTTATTCTGTGATGTCCTTCTTCTTTCATGACATCCTCTCCTTGCTTCTATTACTTCTCCCTTTATCTCAATTTTTCTCCCCTAGGCTAGGAATGTGGCTTAGTGGTAGAGCATTTGCATGGCATAGGTAATGCCCTGAGTTCAATCCCTAGTACCACTAAAAAGGGAGAGAGGGAAACCAATTTCTCTCCTCTAACTCCATAAGCCCTGCTATCCTTTATAAAATTTAAATGTGCTTTTCCTTCTTTGAGTAATTATTACTTCTAGTTTTGGAAGATTTTGTGTTTGTTTTCAGTGCTGGGGACTGAACCCAGGGCTTTGTGCATATTAGGCAAGCACTCCACCACAAAGCTACATCCCCAGTCTGGAATAGATGATTTTGTCATAGGAATGAAGAATAATAAAGAATGCATTATAAATGATATTTTTATATTATTGACCTAGAGCACATTTTTCATTTTAAATATAAAGGTACTATTATCCATGCTAGGACTGTAAGACAAGAGATATATCATTGGATGAGAACTACCAGAATAGAAATCAACCCTATTTACAAAAATTTAACGTAAGGCAAAGGAGAAATAGCAAAATGATAAGAAAATATTGTTCAGTAACTGATGTTAAAAAAGTTGGGTAAGAATTTGGAACACATTTCATACTATCCACTAAAGAAATTCACACATACACTACAATTAAAGTTTATAAAATATCCTCATAAAAATAAGTTAATGTCACCAAATTCTATTTTTAAAAAATAAATTATAGGAATTCTTATTTTTCAAAATTTTAGATTTATATGCTATTATTCTATCATTTTCCTTAGCAATTTTAAGATACTACAAAAGGATGCAATAAAAGAAAGACTATTTGGCAAAGTGATTCTTCCTTTTGCTTGTTATTTCAAAGCTTACCTTTAATATGTGTGTTTCTGGGTTACTTGTTTTGTTTGTTTGTGGTACTGGGGATCTAATGCAGGGGCACTGTACCACTAAGCTACATACATCCTGAGCCCTTTTTATTCTTTGAGACACAGTCTAACTAATTTGTTGAAGATCTTGCTAAGTTGCTCAGGCTGGTCTCCAACTTAAAATCTTCCTGTCCCAGCCTCCTGAGTAGCTGGGAATACAGGCATGTGTCATTGCGCTTAGCACATGTTATTTCAGTTAAACAATAATTAAAGGCTTACAAGCCTTATCTAAGTTGCAACCAATTAATTGTTCCTTTCTCCTATGTATACTTGCCTAGGAAAAGATTTCTATGTCTACCCTATAATTCTAGAATAAAGAAATATCAAATCAAATGTAATCTCAGTATTGTGGCATGCTGATCCCTTTAGTAATACCATCTGACTTTTATTTCTTCCCCAGGAATCCTTTTAATATTCTATTTACTGTCCTACTTACAGTCTTTTAAATTTAAATTTTACTTACCTCAATCTCTATAACTTGTCTCATTTGTCTAGGAGAAAATTTCATTTTCTTCTAGAAAGGCCAGACTCATATTTAACCCTCTAATACTAATAATGCTTTCATTTAAAAAATTGGACTAAATGGCAGGTGCTTGTATCTGTCATCTAACATCTTTATTTATATTTTGCATTCTTTCCCCAAAAAATGACTTTAAGTTTTGCAACAGTAGGGAACCCATCTTCTAATAGATTTCTATCCCTCCATTATGGATGGCACAGTATCTGGTGAATTCATTGAAAAAAGAAGCCAATAATCAGACAGTAAAGTTTTAAACAACTCAAAATTAAAGTAGACTATTTTCTTTTTAATTTATATGTAATTACTCTAATTTGCTCAAAAAGTTTCGGCCATATTTTAACATATCAGATGGATGTGTTTCACACAATTTTTCTTAATTTTCTAAATTGATTCCACTGAATTTTTATCACACACAAAGTAAATGTAGAAATAAGATTTCTGCCCCTTACCCCTCACTTTCTTGTCCTTTGAATTC